CAATCAGCTGATCAACACAATTCTTTTTTTTTTTTTTAACCACAAATTTATTTTTTTTTTGGTACTGGGCATGGAACTCGGCTCCTTCCACTTGCGAGGCAGGTGGCAGTCACCACAAATTCTTAAGGAGAGCTTGGAGTGAAGTATTTCAATCCCTAAAAGAAAACAACCTCCCAACCCAGACTGATATACTCTGCAAAATTATCTTTCAAAATTGATGGAGAAATACATAAAATACTTCCTTGTTAAAGAACACCTAAAGAAATTCATGACCACCAGACCAACACTTCAAAAAGTTCTGAAGGATATTCTAGATAAAGACAATGAAGACAAGAATTCCAAGAATTCCAATAGAATGAATCCACCAGGCAAGGCAGGCAACCAAAAAGAAGGGAAAGAAAGGAAATCAGTAACAAAAAAATATGATAAGGATAAGTCAATACATATCAGTTATAACCATCAATGTAAATGGTCTCAATTCACCAATCAAAAGAAACAGACTGAGCAGCAATGTGGACCAGAGGGCATGGCTGCAGGCAGATCCCAGCCAGGGCCCAGCCCAGACACCAGTGGTTCTTTCATACAAGCCCAAGCTAAAGGGTGGCCCAGAAAAGAGCTGCAGAGGTGCACAAGCATCAGCCAGAGGCCCATATCATCAGTAAGTGCATGGAGACCCTAGCCAGAAGCCTGCTCAGACACCAGGGTCTGGGGTGCACAGCTCCAGCCAAAGGCCCTCCCAGACAACAGCTACATGGGGTGGAGGCCCTAGCCAGAGTCATGCCTAGATACCATCTGAACTATGCAGAGGCCCCAGACAGCAGCCCACCAGACAAAAGGTCAATTCAGGGACCCAGAAGGCAACCATTCTGAACCTAGTAATTGGTACACTGGTAAGCAGCAGAGAAAAGCTTGTTCCAGTGGCTTGCTGAAAATTGAAGACACCGGGTGAATCAAAAAGTTGCCTCAACAAAGGTACAGCAGGCTGCACCTGTTGAAATGAGAAGACACATATATGTCTCAAAACCAGACTTCCAGATCACCTAAGGCAACCCCAGAGGGAAACAAGATGGAACAAACTGATACTCAACTATCTGAACTCCCTGAACTGGCAATGAAAGAGGATCTGGAAAAAATGAAATCAGAAATAATTTCTCAGATAACAATAGATATTGTGCCTATAGTGCAAGACATGAGTAATAAATCTAGAGCAGACACAGATTTTAAAAAAAAATAGAGGAGCTGAGGAACATGATGGAATTCCAACATAGGAAACAAATGAAATCCATAAAACAGGTGCAAACAGATTTCCAGGAGATTAAAAACTCCACTGAAAGTTTACACGGCAGAATGAACCAATGTGAGGACAGAATTTCAGATACAGAAAATAAGATTGCAAATAGTGACCAGGAAAAGAAAAATCTCTTTAAAAGAGTAAGGAACCATGAGAAATCAATCCAGCAGCTGCTAGATGATGGAAAGAAGAATAACATAAGACTGATTCAACTCAATGAAGAAACAGGAGAGAGTGCAGATGACATAAAAAAATCTCTTCACAGAAATAATGGCAGAAAACTTCCCAAGCAGGGGAAAAGAGCTTGACCTACAGATAAGTGAGGCATATAGGACTCCAAACAGCCTTGATCAAAAAAAATGTACACATAGGCATATAATAGTTAAGATTCCAAAAACCCAACAGAACAAAATTCTACAAGTAGTTAGACAAATCTTAACTGGAGCTTATTTTTGGAGTAGGGTTTATATTATGAGCATCCTAAAAAATCATGCTAGGACTTACTTTCCTGTTAGGTCTTATTTTGGGGGACAAACAGTAATAGTATTTAAAATTCCCTACTTTATTAGTGAAGTTGGAGGGAATTTATTTTTATGTCTTTGTTCCACCAAGGCACCAGCCTGTAAAACACTAAGGTGTAAACTAGTGGCCAAGAATTACTATTGTCTCACAAGATTTAATACCAAATTGCCTACCCAACCCATTTCAACAGGTTTTTTTTTTCTAAATTAAAAAAATTTTAATTTAATGAAGGATCTTGCTACTTTGTCAAGAAGATTCAAAAAATTAACTGAGAGAAGAATTTAATGTTATAGGGGTGAATTCTTTTTATTTTTGATGATACTGCGGACTGAACCCAGGGGCTCATGCATGGTAGGCAAGGGCTCTACCAATTAGGTACATCCCCAGTCCTTTTAAAATTTTCTACTTTGTGTTCGGTGTGGTGGCACACACCTGTAACCCAGCATTTGGGATGCTAAGGGAGAACTGCTGCGAGTTCGAAGCCAATCTAGGCTACATGGTGAGTTCAGGGCCAGCCTGAACTGCATAGTGAGACCCTGTCTCAAAAAAGTTCTTCTGCTTGCGAGGAAGGTGGCAGAACCACTGAGCTAAATCCCTGGTCCTATTTTTAAAATTTTGAGACAGGGTCTTACTAAATTGCCCAGGCTGGCCTTGAACTTGGTGATCCTCTTACGTCTGCCTTCTGAATAGCTGGAATTACACACATGTGCCACCATACCTGGTAAAAATGATTTTTTTCTGTTTTTTGAGACAGGGTTCTGTTATGTAGGCTGGCCAGGAACTATGAAGCCCAAGCTGGCCTTGAACTTGAGGCAATCCTCCTGCCTCGCCTCTGAATCCTGGGATCATGTGTGTGCCATCATACCCGGTAAAAATGATTCAAGTATAAGACAAGATCTTTATAAAAGCAAACCACAGGTTTCTAAGTATCTATGAAGCTCCTTAAAAAAAAAATTGGTGAAAAACCTGGGGGAGGACGGCTGCTTTGTCCTACATGGCATCCCCACCGCTTCCGGCTGACTTGACAGGACTTCTTTCACCGGCAATCAGAAACTGGCTTGCTCCAGAAGTGACACTCAACACCTCCACAGTACCTTTTTATTAGAAAAACTTTTTTGAGATAAGATCTTGCTAAATTGCCCAGGCTGCGCTTGAATTTGTAATCCTCCTGCCTCAGCCTCCTAGAGTGCTGGGATTACAAGTGTATACCATCACACTTAGCTATAAAAACTCGAAACTTAAATTCCACATTTTATACCAGTGGTGTTGAACCTATAGCATGTGTTATTGTTTTCCTTTGAAGACAAAGGATGTTAATGCAGAGTTGTTTTTTCTAAACTAAAACCTCAGTATTCAGGTTTAAGCGCAGTTTTGGCACCTTGCAGTAAGTGGATTTTGGGTTGCAAACTTGGTCTCTAAAAAGGTTCGCCATCACTGCTATGTACTGATATTACTTCTTTTTTTGTTTTGCTTTGGTTGTGTAGTACTAGGTAATGAAGCCAGGGCTTCTGCGCTGAGCAACTGAACTATAACCACAGAGCCTTTTTTTCTATTTTGAGAACGTGTCTCCTAAGTCAATAAATTGCCCACATCGGGCTAGAACTTTCAGCCTTTTTTGGGTGCGGGGAATTGCATGCTCAGCACATTATTTACTTACCAAATGAATCGGAGTTCATTTATTTTACAAAAACATGCACCACAGCAGAAAATTTTCCCTTCCAGAAAGTAATTTAAAATATAAAACACTCAAAGAAGACAAAAGTAACCAAACAGGTGAAATGAAGTGGTGGAGTGAGGAGTGAACATTGTACTACAAACCCCCCACCCCCAGACCTGGCCAGCTGTCATGGTGATCACTGTGCAGCCTGGGCTGCTCGCAGGAACTCGTGACTATGCTGCAGAGAGAATCTCCCAAGCAGAGTTACAGTAATGCCTTGATTTGTGAGCCAGTGACATTCAAGAGCCACACTGATATATTCATTTTGGGCCTTTAGAAACCACCCAGCCATTATGAGCATCCATATGACTGCCAGCACCTGTGGCCAAAGACATGTTAAGTCGCAATGAATACAAGAATAATAGGTGAATTTGCTGTCACAGGAGCTGTTACAGAGAAAATGCTAGCACAGAAGGTTAAATATAGTATGGTTTCTTTCAAAGAGAAACCCAAAGTATAAATAATTTAAACAGCAAAATAAAAGACAGATGATAGGAAACAGGGAGATGGGCTTGTAAAAAGGGAACAGGAACCTGGGGATTGAGAGGAGGGAGAGGGAGGGGAAGTAAAAAAGGATCAAGATGTAATATGTGTATGTACCAATTCCTCACAATTAATGTATTTATCATGTGTTGCAAACATAGAGTAAAAAGGGAAAAGAATGAAAAAACTTTCATGTTGTACAATATAAAGATCTCCAATTAGCAATGATACAGAATGTAACTCTCATATTGTATAGTAATATTAATATGAGCCTAGTTATACAAATATCTTTATTTTTTAAAAAATGCTAGAGTTCTGATGTCCAATGTGGCAGCTATTAGTCACATGTGGTCCTTTCAATTAACTATAGTTGATCCTCTTTATCCAGATTTGATGTTTGCAAAATTAATCTACTAAGATTTATTTGTAACCCCAAAATCAATACCCATGGTGCTTCTGAGACCATTCAGACACGAATGGGGCGGTCAAACAAGACACTGCTTTGCCTTCCTGTTCTAGCTCACATGCTTTATCCTCCTCGTCCTCATCATATGTGGGATTTCTGAGGTTCTCTTGAGCTGGGTTGCAAAGCACTTTTATCTACCTTCGGGGGGGGCGGTGGTGAGTAGCAAAAGTGGATGCCAAGATCCAGGTTTTCATTCTTCTAAATAAAGACTTCCTCTTCTAGAGCATGTCTATCCTAATAGGTCAAAACTAGAAGAGCATAAAGGAAAGAAAAAAAAACCTAGAAAAATATCCAATGCAATCATTTTTAAATGTCATGATTATAGCTTTACCTATGCTTATTATTCCTGTAGTGCTCATATAATTAACATCATTATCAGTTGCGCAGTTGGTTTTGCTTGCATAAAATCTTAGTGATGAAATCTTCTGGGGGCCATCTCCATGTGCCATAACGAATGAGCCTGTTCCGTGGGGTATTTATACTTAACACTGTCTACTGAGACTGCTGCTTTATCTAACTTGATTTACTCTTCACTCATTATTTTGATAAGCCGACACATATATTTTTCTATTACAAGTAACCTAGTTTTGATTCATATCAATATTCATTTACTCATCATATCTTGACTGAAACACATGCTATACAATTCTATCACTACATAGATTTCTTCTTTGTAGGGATTCAGCAAAATCAGATCCTTGATTGCTATCACGAAAGTTTGGGGGATTGCTTTACAGTTGCTGGCGCCCACACACATCACATCCAGGGCTCCCATCCTTTCCAAGCTCTGCCAAGGATGTTGGGGTCTGTGGCCTGGTCCAGTAAGCACTTCACTTGGGTCTCTTCTGAAAGTCCATTCTCTGGCTCTTGGGCACGGATATTGTGATCTCTACTTCCCCGAGCAACAGCTGTATAACTCCCAAAGGCAGGGGACTTCTCATGGCCCAGAAATAATTCATCACTGGAAAAAAAAATTAAACTAATAAATCAACAGGTAATAAATAAAGTCACAAAAAATTGAAAAAATATGAAAACACACAAACGTTTTTTCCCTTGTTGCCTGTATTCCTAACTATCCTGAAGTAACGTTCTCTCTCGTCATTTATGAAACATCTTCTGTCGATCATAATCTTGAAATCCAAGGTTACATCTGAAGTAAACTAAAACACTAATAAGGCTGCTATTAACATTCACTTTCAAGTTTTGGGGCAGACATATGCTTTCATTTCTCCTGGGTATATACCTAGGAGCGAACTGCTGAGTAAAGAACAACTCTACACTTAACGTTTTGAAAAACTGTCAGACTAATTCTCAAGCAACTGCACCATTTTCTTAATTTCTTTTTTTTTTTGGTACTGGGGATCGAACTCAGGTCCTTGTGCTTGTGAGGCAGGCGTGGTGCCACTGAGCTAAATCCCTGGCCCTTAATTTCTTTTTCTTTTCTTCCTTTCTTTCTTTTTTTTTTTTTTTGTTGTTTGTTTTTTGAGACAGAATCTTGCTTTATAGTTCACGACTGGCCTTGCACTCACTATGTAGCTCAGCCTGGTGTGGAATTCACAGTGATCCTTCTGCCTCAAACTCTCAAGTGCTGGGATTACAGGTGTGCACCACCATGCCCAGCTAACTTCGCCATTTTCTGTTCCCACCAGCAGAGCATTCAAGTTCTAGTGACTCTACACCCTTCCCTACAGCTGTTACAGCCACCTTAGTGGCTGTGATGTGCAGTCCCATTTGCATTTCCCTGACAACTAGTTAAGCTGAGCATTTCTTCATGTGCTTATTGGCTATGTGCATAACTAAAGAAACATCAGTCTGATTCCTTTGGCCATTTTTAAATTGGGTTATGTGTCTTATTATTATTTTTTTGTTTTTGTTTTTTGGTACCAGGGATCGAACTTGGGTCCTTGCGCTTGGGCAGCAGGTGGCAAAACCACTGAGCTAAATTCCTGGCCCTGTGTCTTATTATTGAGTTGTAAGAATCTTCAAATTATTCTGGATGTAAAATCTTTGTCAGATATTACTTGCAAATATTTTCTCCCATTCTGTGGGCTGTCTTTTTACTTTTTTCTTTTTTTGCAGGGCCAGGGATGGAACCCATGGCCTTGCATGTGTCAGATAACTGATTAACCAAAGCTATACTCACAGCCTTCTTACTTCTTTGATGGTACCTTTCAAAGCACAAAAGTATCCTGTGAAGTGCAAAAGTTCTGTGTTTTTTTTTCTTGATACTAGAGATTGAACTCAGGACCTTGGCACTAAGCTATATACCTAGCCTGTTTAAATTTTTGAAAGAAGGTCTTGCTAAGTCACTGAGTTGCCCAGGCTGGGTATGAATTTGCAGTCCGCCTGCCTCAGGCTCCAAGAGTGCAGGGATTGCATGGGTGTGTCACCATACCCAGCACCCGAATGTTTTTTTCTACATGATTTATAGTATTCTAAAAGCTCACCTAAAAAATAAAAAAATAAAAGCTAACCCAAAGGTCAATCCAACCTGTATGCAGACAAGCCCACACTGTGTTTACCAGGTCTTTGTGCTGTGCCCCATAGGTCAAGGCCCTTGAAAGGACAAACGCCAATTTAAACCACAAGTCTTTTTACACAGGTGACAGAACGTTAGTACCATTCCAGTCTTCCTGTTGGTGCAGCATGGCCCAGACACCGGGATGAAGCCTGAGGACCGCGCACGGCTCGGGGAGGCCCCCAACTCTGAGTCACAGGCCTCACCTGGCCTTGGAGAAGCTGACCTCTCTAAGCTCACTTTCAGTTTATAATAATCTTACCAAGTTATAACAGCTGGATTGGCACCGGCTAACTTTCTCTTGGCGTAACATATTTTCTGTCGAGGATACCAATTTTTTTCAGTTACATTTACCTTCTGAATCCATGACCCTCCTTTTTTCAGCATTTTTTGTTCAAAATTCTAAAGGAAAAGAACAAGATTTTCTCTATTTATTCTAACAATCAATATATACAATCACATTCCAACAGATTAAATCAAGTAATGATCTTGTTTTGTTTTGTTTTGGTACCGGGGATCGAACTCAGGACCTTGCGCTTTGGAGGCAGGTGGTGGTACCACTGAGCTAAATCCCTGGCCCTCAAGTAATGATCTTAAAAGATCTGTAACTGGGAACAGCCCTATGGTTGTTTTTTTTGGTTTTTTTGGGGTACCAGGGATTGAACTCAGGACCTTGCTCTTGCCAGGCAGGCATGGTGCCACAGAGCTAAATCCCTGGCCTACCCCTATGCCTTTTTACACTGATTCTAACGCTGGCACACAGCACAGTGACTGAGCTGGAGGGGCTGCACAGACGTGTGATGTTTCACTCCCTTTTAGGATGAGCACAACTAGGCTTGATCTCATGTGGGTATATTCTGGATAGCCTTTCAGACTTAAGACAGTACTATCTTTATGATCAAGGAAGAGTTCACATAGAATAGTTTTAAGCCAAAAGTTGTATCAAGGAGAAATCAGACCCACCAATCACAGTGGGTCCACATTCCTACTTCCAGTTAGAAATAAACTTGCTTGAAGCTATAACTTTCTCCAAATAGAAGTTTTGGCTTCTTACCTGGTTTTCAGGTTAAGTGATCCCAAATGTTAATTTTGAGAAATGTAGTACAAAATGATGCAAATATTTTAGTAAACATGACCTGACATGTTTTCACTATATAACCGGAGACACTGACTCAATCACTGGAACACTGAGATAAAAATGATATATGCGTATAAAAACCTACTTTCCAATCGAAGGATGGTTCCCTTATGAACACATCCATGGTGTTGGTGAGCAGGTCCGCGTCTGAGCGGAAGGCCCTCAGTGCATGGACCATGACACTGTACACGAGACCCGTTTCTTTCATTGGTAACATCAGGTTGATAAATTGGCGAGTTAGACGAAAAGGCATCAACTCGGGGACCGGCAAGAACTAAACAAGAGAAAAAAATACATTCAATAAGGAGATATATTAAAAGCATTAAGATGTGTTATGTACATGTACCAACTCCCCATGATGAAAAAAGCAAAAGCATGTGTGGAGGATCACAGAGTCTGCAGATCGAGACATTCCGTGAAAATGTTCAGAGGTTAATGGCAGAGAAAAGACTGGTATCACGTTTGATACAAGATATTTGGATTATGGGGCTTCATAACACTTCTTTGGAGGACTCCTTTTATACAGAAATGCATTTTATTCCTGACTCTGATTACATAAGTTATTATCACATATTCCATGACCTACCTAAATAAGCCTAAAATGAGGCTGAGATTTCTTTTTTCAGATTTAATGACCATGACAAAAATCAACCCAACAAGTCATTTCTTCTTTAAAAACTATTCATTTCTAGAAGGTGTTATAGCCAGGTGTGATGGTGCACACCTGTACTCCCAGCACTCAGGAGGCTGAGGCAGAAGGATTGCTTCAAGTTTGAGGCTAGCCTGGGCTACATAGGCCAGCTTCAACTATATAGTGAGACCCTGGCCACATAACAACCCTAAACTAGCCCATAAGAGTAAGGCAAACACACCTGGGTGGCTGATCCAAATGCATGTCCAAAATCTATTCCTATTATGCCACCTGTCTCCATGGTCACCATGAAATTGTTCAAGTGTCTGTCTCCGATGCCAAGGAGCCAGTGGCTGATACACAGCAGTGCGTGAGAGGTGGAGAAGTGGGAGCGAAGTGCCAGGAAGGCCTCAGGGCCACTGCTCATCTTCACAAAGGCCCGCCTGGGAAGAGAAGCTGTGCATCAGGGTTTGGACCTGGAAGGTGCCCCAAAGCCTCACGTGGTCAGAGCTGAGGCTTCCGGAAGGTGACTGGATCACAGTGTGACAGGGACTTGCTGAGGTGGGGGTCTGGCTGGGGCCGAATCACTGGGCTGTGACCTGCAGCTCCCTCTCTGGCCCCTCCCTTTGCTCTCTGCTTCCTGGCCATCATGATGTGAGTGGTTTTCCTCCATCCAGGCCCTGCCTTCTACCGTGCCGCTTCTTCCTTGGAGCCAGCCAGCCATGGACTGAAACTTCTAAAACCATGAGTCAAAATAAACCTCTCTTTCTTTAAGGTGTGGGTATCAGTATTTTGTCCTAGTGACAAGAAAGTGACTAAGACACCATGTGTGGTCTTTGCTACACCCTTGGGATATTTGTGAGGTCATACATGTACTTACTTTAAGAGATCAGCAGGCACTTTACTTTCTCTTTTTCTAAAGGCCATGACTGTTTCTGTACGATTAGCTCCCCTATGATTTAATAATACAAAAACATCTCAGAACCAATTTCTCACAATGTGAAATTAAAATTTTAACTCTAATTTATACTGAAGCTCAAATATGAAATAACTAGATTTTGATGATCTCTTCAAGGCAAAACTTCTTAAGAATCAAAAGTACATATGCTATTTTGAAAAGAAATAATTAATATAAAGAAAAAACAAAACTTACTTATACATTAACATGTAAGCTCCAACATCATGTTTTCCTGACATTTTTGCCAGCCATTCTCCATAGTCAATGATTGGTGCTTCGATGTCATTACTAACAAAAAAACCAGGGGAATCAAAATTAGGGAGGTATTTAACATTATATAATTTTAGAGGCAAAGACCACTAAGAGTTCACCGAAAAACAGAAGAGGCAGGGAAAAATAAACACAACTTTTATTCATATTCAATGTTGAGATCAAACCTATGGTACTTTGGATCTAGAATTTCAATGTACCATGATTCATTCTTAAGAATGAATCAAAAGAGGACTGGGGATTTAGCTCAGTGGTTCCACCGCCTGCCTCGCAAGTGCAAGGACCCGAGTTTGATCCCTAGTACCAAAAAAACCCCGCCAAAACTAAAGACAATAATTTTACAAAATGGGACTCAGCAGGTCAGTCATTTAAGCTAATTTTCTTCTGAGTCACTACTAAGTTAATTTACAAATATATTACAGCTTTTTAATCTAAATTCTCTCCTGAGATTCCCCACCCCCATACTGGGAATCCAACTCAGGACCTTGCACTTGCTAGGCAGGTGTGGCGCCACTCAGCTACATCCCCGGCCCCTCTCCTGTGATTTTTTCCCCTGATGTGATCTTGTTATGTGGCCCAGGTGGGACAACAGCCTCCTGTGCTTGGACTGCAGGTCTGCACCACTGCACCAGGCTTTCTCTGCCTAGTTTTTTTTTTTTTTTGGTACCTGAGATCAAACTCAGGTCCTTGCACTTGTGAGGCAGGTGGCTAAATCCCCGGCCCTCTCTGCCTAGTTTTAAGAGAGATGAAACTCCTAGTTGTGAAACTGCAACATGCTACATTAAGGAAAAAATAGCAATATCTTTAATAACAAGGAGCTGGAAGTGCCTGGAAGGAGTAGGAAGGAGTAGGAGCTGGCAGTAAACCATACCATGTGGAAAGCACTTCACCCACTGAGCCCATGCTCACCTTACTTATTACTTAATTCTGCAGGATCCCTGCTTCGAAGAAAGAGAGTGGGAGCTCATGAGGGCCAAGAGCTAGTTCAGGACAGCCAGCGGAGTCAGAACCTCAGCGCCAGGATGAGACCTGGGACTTCTGATGCCAGGAAGCTGGTCTTGTAGGGAAACGAGGGGTAATTCCAAGCAAAGGACTTAAATATTTAGAATTAAAGGTCGATAGGGCTCAATCCCCAGCACCATAGTAAAAAAAAACAGTGGCAAACTACCCTATTTACTATTACCTGGGCATGTGGGTCTGATGAGAATATGCTTAATTTTATGGTAACTGACCCTGACTGATGAAAACATTGCTCTATTTAAATACCTTCAAGACAGAATGAGAGCACAATTTCCTCTTCCTTCATCCTACAGCTTGTCCTCAAAACCTATCAACTCTACTTTCAACATGTTTTTCATTACACTGTTCTTATTTTCGTTTACAGAAACAAAAAACAAATTAAAAAGCCATTCCAATAAAAAATACATGTCCATTATAGAAAAAGTGGAAAACAGAGAAAACGTTAAAAGAAAAATACAAAGCATGATCTGGAATTAATAATAATCTCACTTACAGGCTGGGTGACATAGGATGAATTACTTAACCTCTCTGGACCTCAGCTTATTTGTACAGAAATGATAATACTTACCTTGTAGGTTGCTGTAAGAAGTAGTTCATATATATTAAGAACTAGAATAGTGCCTACCATGTGGAAAATATTTAATTAAATGTCAGCTACAGATCTATTATCTCTTCATTTTATTTCAAGATTTTTTCTCCAAAGTTAAGACTTTAAAAAAAAATTATGGTAAAATATATGCAATCTGTTTAGTACCTTAGTACCATTTAGTTTATTCATCCAGCCAGAGGCAGATTAAAGGCCAGGCCAGGGTAAGGATTTCAGAGCACCATGTTCAGGGGCCCTGCCACGTCACTGGAGTAAGAGATGAAGGAGAGCCACAAGCTGCCAGCATGAGGGGGAACAGGTGGTTCAGACAGAAGCAGGCTGGAGGGTGGACGACACTGGGGAAACAGCAGTCAGCTTCACACTACCTCATATAAGTCGCCTTCTCCTCCTGGGACATGTTGTCCAAAAGAATGTCCTTCAAGGTAAAAGTATTTTCAATCCATTCAATTAATCCTAATCTGAAAAGGAACATAAAGTTTATGAATAATGCAAGCTCCAATTGCTTTTTTTTAAAAAAAAGGGTTCTGGAGAATCAAAGAAAGAGAGTCATGTCTACTCATCCCTTACTTTGCCATGCAGGTCTGTGTTGTTAACCCTGCTGAGCACTCTGCCTGCGGGATCCAACCACTGCCATGTCCTGCACCTCCCACCCTCACCTGAGGACAGTCACACAAGGGCCTCACCCAGGGGTCCATTCCCACACATCTGCTTGTGTTGTACCTAGAGGTCATGGGCACCACACGGTATGTCCTCAGCTGCATGTTTCTCTGGCTGCAGGCAGCGTCGCGGGAGAGGATGACATTCATGACCTCAAAGAGCTGCTCGATGCGCTGGTCCTGCCGAAGGTCCTCACCGCCCTTCACGAGGAAAGGGTACTCCTTCTCATCGTGGCCGCGGATGACAATGCGCTTTGGTCTTCTAATAGAAGGCATTACTTTTACCTTTAGAAAGCAAAACGTATCTGTTACCTGTTCATGCCCAAATGCCGTGTCCATGGAAATGTAATATTCCTAGCTACAAATAACTGCTTACAAATTGAATATCCTTAGCAACAAGCAATATCCAACATGTAAATATTTTAAAATAGGTTAACTCTACACATATTTTATAATAGATACCCACAGCTTACTCTTTATTACATCCTTAAAATGGTGTTAAAACATTGGAGACATTTATATTAAGAAATTCAGTCAATAAAACAATCAGCAGGGCTGGGGATTTAGCTCAGTGGTTCTGCTGCCTGCCTCGTAAGCAGAAGGTCCTGAGTTTGATCCCCGGTACCAAAAAAAAAAACCAAAAAAAAAAAACAATCAGCAAACTCCATACAATTGGAGACCTACATAAGAATTTAATTATCCTTTCCTTAGCAGAGAGTAATACATTTTCATGCTGAAAAGCTACACACAACACACCAATAGTCCTCACCATGGTAATGGGAGTCACAGACTCTCACACTTACCCGCTCATCAAACCCAGAGATCCGTGCATGGTATTCAGGCAATGGCTTTCCCCTGCCATGATACTGACCTAAAATAAACCACAAAGTTTATTAGATACAGCTTATAATAGAACCTCTGTATTTTTTGTTTTTTTTGTTTTTTTGGTAACAGGGATCGAATTCAGGACCTTGAGCTTGCGAGGCAGTCACAGTGCCACTGAGCTAAATCCCCGGCCCAAACCTCTGTATTTTTAAACATATCTGTTGTTGAGCATGGTGGCACACACCTGTAATCCCAGCACTTGAGAGGCTGTGGGTGGCAGGAGGATCACCATGAGTTCAAGGCCAGCCTGAACTACATAGCAAGACCCTGTCTCAAAAGCAAATGAAAAACATACTTTGACTTAATTTTAAAAAATCCCTCATCTAATATGAAAAACATTTTACCAAAAGTTTTTGTTTTAAAAAAAAGGCCTGGGGCTGGGGATTTAGCTCAGTGGCACCGTGCCTGGCTAACAAGTGCAAGGTCCTGAGTTCGATCCCTGGTACAGAAAAAAAAAAAAGGCCTTGGTTGGGCACAGTGGTGTGCCTGCTGTCCCAGCTACCTGAGAGGCTGAGGCAGGAGAACTGCTTGAGCCCAGGTGTTCGAAGCTAGGCAGGGCAACATAGTGAGACCCTGTCTCAAAAATAACTTTAAAAAAAAAATGCTAGTACAGTATTTTTCAATTTGACTGATTAATGGACATCAGCATCCAAGTCTAAAAGATAAATTCCAAATAGAAAAAATAATGCAATGAACTGGAGTACTGCATTATTCAAGGCAGGCACATCAGACTGCACATTAGGAGTCTTACACTTAAATGCTTTTCTGGAAACTGACTGAATGCAACTGCACAGTTGTTAACAACAGTAAAGGAAAGTGATTCTCAAAACATGCTTTTTCTTATATTCACTGGAATGAGAACATGAGTAACCAGGTTAAAATATTTTTTTCTTCCGGCAAATTCCAGGGTGAAGAACAGAGAATTACATAGATTTCATTGGAAAAATCAGGCCTTATATGCCAGGAATGCCTGTAATCCCAGGACTTGGGAGACTTGGGCAGGATCAGTGCCCCAAGTTTGAGGCCAGGCTGGGCTACATAGGGAATTCAAGGCCAGCCTAAACTACACAGCAAAACCCTGTTTCAAAAAATAAAAGTAAAACAAACCAGGGCTGGGGATTTAGCTCAGTAGTTCTGCCGCCTGCCTTGAAAGCACAAGGACCTGAGTTTGATCCCTGGTACCAAAAAAACCCCAAAAAACCAAAACCCCCCAAAAACAAACAAAAAAAGAAAAGAAAAATTATGCTTTTTTCACATTTGGTTAACTTGCTACATGTCTCCATCCTCAATTCCACAAATCTTTTCTTCTGCAGGTTAGTCATTTTCATAATTCGTTCCTTTAAATGGGATTGACACATACACCCCAGGAAATAAGGTATTGTATTTCTAAAGAAAAGTTACTCAGGAGCAAAGCATGGGTACGTTCAGAGGAAACCTATGATTACCTGTTACCATAATTACTAAATGCAAATCTGAACACTTATCATAATCAGAAATATAAGAAAGCTATTATCTCATTAGCCATTTAGTAAAGAGTATTAATTCACAGTAATTATGGATTTTCCTAGTGATGAAAAATATAGTGAAGTTTAAAATTCTGAAAAAAAAGAGGTAATTATCAAGAGTCCAGTATCACTGCTGTTGCTGTCGTGCTGTTTTTATTAGAGTCTGCTTTTGTCACCCCAGGGGTTAACTCACCAGGAATCTCCAGCTCATTTCTCAAGAACTCCACTTTGAACTCACTCATCCAGGGTGAGCATTCTTTCAGATTCCCAGGAGGCTCTGAGTCTTTTTTCATTTTTAAAACCAGCATGTCCGTAATGTCACTAAAGTCACTGAGCTTCATTTTAGATAGCTTAGAACCTCCATTCCCAAAGTGTTTATCAAATTCCTTTCCAAAGGCCTGAAATTATTAATAATTTACTATAAAGATCAGTTTGAATGTTGGAAAAGGCTCTCAGCTTGTGAGTTTTCTTAACAAACAATTGCCCAATTATATAGATTTCTTCTGTGCTTTTAAGATTTATACTTTCACTTCACTTCAATACTTCAATGCTCTAAAACATCTGGGGCCTGCTTTCTGTTTGGACTTGTGTTCCTTTAGAAGGTCATGGTTGGAACGATTTGTAGTTACAAGTTTTAATAAGGACTTTCAAAATTTGGCGAGGCTTTAAATTCCTTAATACTCATTATCTAGTTCTGGGTCTATATCATTATGATGACATGAATTATTAGGAACAAAGTTTAAAAGAACAAAATAAAGGGAATACCTCAATAAATATGAATAGACCATAACTCTTCATATGCATTCAAAAGAAAAATATAAGAATGCTACTTTCTCAGTAATGTTTTAAGACTCTATTTTGGATCAGACATTAGTATAAACATTATTTAGGTGGAGCCGGGGATTTAGCTCAGTGGTTTCGCCGCCTGCTACACAAGCGCAAGAACCCGAGTTCAATCCCCGGTACCAAAAAAACCCCACAACATTATTTAGGTAATTTATATTTTAAAAGCAATTATTGTTAGAAGCATTCTACCTTGGAATACATCAATTTTTCCTTTGTATTAGTCTTAAATATTGATTTGAATAATAATCCTGGTATAAATAAAAATAAAATCCTAAAGTATTACAAACAGTAACTTAATAGTTGTCAATATGTACCAGGTCATCATTAAGTAGAAAAAGTTTTACCCAATTCAGAATTCCATAATATAAATAAATCTAGTATACATGAATTATATTTTATTTTAAAACAATTCACTGTAAGAAAATTGACAAATATAAAATGGATTTCTTTGATTTATAAATGAATTAAAAGTATACAATCAATTCTTCAATGTACATGAAAAGTTTAGCTATTTCCCACATGTAATTACCAATACCATATTTGAAAGGCATCATGCCCTTAAGCATCCTTGAAAGTGGGATAATTTATTTTGGTAGGTTATTGTTTAAATTAATGAAAATTATTTGTTGGTTTGATCTGATGTACAAAGTTCTGGATAGATTTTTCCAAAGTACAAGAAATTAATCTCTAAAACATCTTATGCCGTGCCTGGTAGGGATGACAGAATGTTTCTGTCACCATGCTGCTGTCTCTGGGCAAGGGTCAGATGCAGCTGTGCTCATCCACAGCTTGGAAGAATAGCTGTCTGTGCTGAAAGATTTTTAGGGCACAGTTTTATGATGTTCAGCAGGCAGGGAAAGGAAGTGGCCATGAGCTCAAAGGGATAAGGTGCAGTCTTCACTTGGGGCTGCGCAGAATTTTTCCAGTTGAGAGAAAGTGCTGAGACAAACCCTTTCACAAGGATGCCCTGGGTCCTCTGAGAAGAGCCTGGGTCTAGTTCCCTCTCATTCCTCCCACCGACCCTCGGCAAGTTACCTGCTTTTCAGCTCCAGCTTCTCTGGCCCATAAGCCATACCCAGACCATGGCTTGCTTTTATTAACAGTATTTTGATGGATTCTGCCACCCAGGCCCAAATGCACAAGCCCTATCTACAGCTGCCTATGCACCATGACAGGACATGCAAGTTCTGGTGACAAGAGACTTGTATGGCCAGCAAAGCTGAACTGCTGGGACTGTATATAAAGTGTGTGGGTCATTGGTTTAGCAAAACACAAAATACTGACACTTTACTAAAACCAATATTCTATAATTTTATAAATGTTCACCCATCAGTTTTAAGTACAACTTACTACTTTCATTTAATCAGTTTCTGTCCTGAGACTCTTACATATCCAAGAGCCAGCGGCACACATGTGACATGATGTGAAGACCAATGTATGTCCTATTGCAAAAAATAGGAGTTTATGGGGCCAGAGATTTAGCTCAGTGGCACTGTGCCTGCCTTGCAAGCTCAAGGTCCTGAGTTCCATCCCCAGTACCAAAAAAAAAAAAAAGTTCATGGTGTTATCTTCACTTTCAGGATGTATTCCTAGTCACATTTAAGCCACAGGTGGTCCTGTATGTTTCTAAATTCATTCCTTTAAGAACTCAAACTACTGCAAGTAGGAATGACCCACTAAAAGCAATCTCCACTTAACAAAATTATTCAACTCATTAAAGATGCCTATTTCACAGCAGGCAGTCCATTGATAATTATTTGAGACAAAGAACAAAATAAAACCCTGTGTGTAAGGTTGAGTCAGGAGATAAAAGGAAAGGAACAGTTAAAGACCAAAGTAATTTTCTCCTCCACATAAGAACTGAAAATGTGTCTCCCTACGTGCAGCATATGTGGCATTATTCTTTTTTTTTTTGGTACTGGGGATTGAATTCGGGACCTTGTGCTTACGAGGCAGGTGCTGGAACCACTGAGCTAAATCCCTGGCCCCATGTGGCATTATTCTTAAGAGCTAAAAAATGCAAATACCCCTAACGTTCATCAATTGATGAAAAGATAAACAAAATATGGCATATCCAGAGTGGGATAATATTTAGCAATCAAAAGGAATGGAGTAGTGCTACAGTGTGGTTGAACTTTGAACACATTATGCTAAATGAAATAAGCCAGATGTATATTGTTAGATTTTGTTCATATGAAAAATCTAGAAGAGGCCTATCCTTAAGAGACAGGAAGTAGTTTAGTGGCTGGCAGGAGCAGGAAGTAGTAAATATGAATGGATATGAGGTTACTTTTGGTGGTGATGAAAATGTTCTAAAATTGATGTATTTTCTTGATCAAATATCTAAGTCATTCTGAGAATTAAAAATACCAAAGCACATGTAATCTTCAGACCTAAGAATCTGAACGTGAAGAACAGAATGTAATAAAACCTAGAGGTTTTGCCTACTACTAGAGGTTTCACCTACTACTATCTGACCTAAACATATCTTATCAGTATCTCACTTACAGATTCAACACGCATTTTAAGATCAGAATTATCAGCAAGCCATCAAATGTGCATATATTGATCTTCCCAGTGCTTCTGCTACCATAAAGATAGGGCAACTGTCCATACCTGAATAAACCTCCTTCTGAAGGGCCCCAGGCCCGAAGCCTGTGGGTTGCCCAAGGCCGCATACATCTTTCCATACAATTTTTCAATATTTCTTTTATTTATAGGTTTTTTTCCTAGTTCACCTTTTATATCAGCAACCCAGTCCTGTGCAAAACAAACAAACAAACAAACAAACAAAAGAAAAGAATCAAGAATCATGCCCAACTGTTTTTTTTTTTTTTTTAAAGTATTTTGAGACAGGGTCTTGCTTTGCAGTGCAGGCTGGCCCTGAACTCACTATGTAGTCCAGGCTGGCCTCAAACTTGTGGCAATCCTCCTGCCTCAGCTTCCTAAGTGCTGGGATTACAGGCATGCACCACCACACTCGGCACAAGCTGTTCTGTCTGCCAAAAGCTGTTCTGTTACCTTAAAGAGCAGGTCAGGATTAGAGAGTTGTTCCAGGGCATTAATAAACTCTTGAACCACTTCTCCTTGGTCCAACTTACTTTTGATCCTATAAAAAAATATTTACCAGGTTTAGGTAACCAAACATCTTCTAAAGATCAAGGTCTATTACACAGTATAATGTATGTATAAATATAAATATATGTACGTAATACCAACTACACAGTCTAGGGAAGGAGCAATTTCAGAATTCTACCCAGTATCAGATGAAGTAGAAAGCCCCTTTTCTGTCAAGAGGTATGGTTCTCAGATAAGGGAAAAGCGGATCTTCTTGTGACAGACATGGACATTTTGAGGTAAACTATTTGAAATATACATTTTCTGAAGTTATGGAAGAAAAAGTGAATTTCTCAACACACTTTTTTTCAACTATTTTTGTCTCCATTTAAAAAAAACCAATCCTGTCACAGGAGACTCTGCTTAGAGGCAGTGTGTCAGGCAGGCCACGGCAGCAGTGGTGATGTGTGTGCAAACTCACACACTGTGCCTTGCTAAGCTTCATTCTTTGTCTCTTCCAGAGCAAAGCACCCAAAATAATGAGGCCAATCAGCTTATGACAAAACCGGCTCTTGATGGACAATGCATCCAGAACACCAGGCATTTACAAAGTGTTCTTGCAAAAGTTACACCACTACCCATTACGTCAAATGAAGAAGTGAAAAGGGCACTGCAGGCCATCTCCTGAGCCCCTGTTCAGAAGGGGGCTTCTTGTCTATTTTAAGTTAAAGGGTGATTTCAGGGACTGATTGCAAAAAGCATCTCATCTAGTCTGTCTCAACCAATATTATTAATTAGGAGCATGAAGGGAAGCACTCTAAGATGAAATCTTTTTTAAAAGGAGAGAAATTCAATGAATATAATACACAGAAAAGATACATTTAAACAGATGTCTAAGATTTTCTATGCTTCAAGGACAGCTTGAAGCGTACTGAAGACAAACAGAAACTTCCCACACGTGCTTTTACATACACATTTTTGTAGCCTATAAAATTTCATTAACTCAGTTTTTCTGTCACATCACCTTTCCACAAACTCCTTATTCGTATGACCAGTAGGAGTATCTTTGAAGGAGTAGCTCTCACTGCTTATTATAAAAGGATAGACAATCGCCTGTGGGTAGTTCTCAGCAATCTCTTCCACAGTGTGCTGAACCGCGCTGGCCTCCTCTTTGTCCAGTAAAGCTACCATGTGGCTGATCCAGCCGATGAACTGCCAGCAAGGAATGGAAGAAATCTAAAACACAGGGAGCTATAACTTAATAATGAACAAAATATTGAATACTGTCTCACCATAAAGGTAATATATGTCTAATACAAAAAAATCTAATGTAGTAAAGTCTATTCCTTGACACTCAACAGCCACATTCTGCTAGACATGTTCTGTGCTTGTGCACACATATTCTTTGTTTATAAGAACAAATTCATACTAGACATATTGTTGGTTTTTCTTAGAAAGATTAGCCTCATTCCTTTTTAACAGCTGTATAGTAGTATTCCATTGTGTCTATTGCTTTATAATGAACAGTTAGGGTGTTGCCCAATTTTTTGACTATTGAGGTAATGTTACAATGGAGATCCTTACATACATATATCTTTGCACTTGTGTTATACACTTTGTAGAATAAATTTCCAGGAGTAAAATTACAGTGTGAACATCAACAACTGTCAGATGCATTGCTAGAAAATGCAGAAAGAGTTTTGAAATTTTCAGTTCTAAAAGTATTATATTAAATATTTTCCAAAATCCTTACTAACACTGGACTCAATGAAGTTAATTCAAAATACTGTTAATCTGAGAAATAATGCTTAACTTAAATTTTCACATTTCATTATCAGTGAGGCTGACTAGTATGTATTTATTTGCCTTATATATTGTAGTCATGCATGCATTTCCTTTGACCATTTTCTGCTGATCTATCATGACCATTTATTTCAAAGACCCATGTCAGCTCTGTACCATGTGTTGCAAATATTTTTCTTTCAGCTTTTTAAAAAACCATTGCGTATGGCATTTATTTTTGTGTATAGAAGTGTCAAAATTATTTTCCTTTTAGCGTCTGGTTTTTGTCTCTACACTCCAAGACCATTAAACAATATGTGTTCATGTTTTCTTCTAATGTTTTTCAGGTGTTATTTTAAAGGTAAATCTAAAATACTTAGATTATTGGTATAAGGAGGAGTTCGGCAAGTTCTCTAGCTACATCTGTCAACTGAGGACAGGACAGCAAGTGTGAAGATAACAGCAATTGGTCCACGATTGGCTACTCCTCTACAAGTGTGATTACAACACTGACTGATATCCACTTATTTTTTCACAAGCTCAAAATGCTATTTTTATCATATATAATGTTATTTTGGGAAAAAAACAAAATCATAACAGTTATTTAACTATTAGTTCACTTATCCTTAAGAAAAATGTATTATTTATTTATTCATTTATTTTTTGGTACCGGGGATTGAACTCGGGTCCTTGCGCTTGCGCAGCAGGCGGCGAAACTGCTGACCTAAATCTCCAGCCCAAGAAAAACATATATATGCTCCATTTCTGAATTTATTTTAATCTCTGTTTCAAATCTACTTGAAGAATCCACAGCAAGGAAAGGGTACAGCTAGACCCTGACAATCGCACTGGTACCTTCAGTTCAAAGACCATCACTGTTTAAAGACTCATTATATAAAGCTAATAGTTTCTTGGTAATCCTTTTTTGATCTTATATTTTCAGTGTTTTTGTTTTTTTTTTTGTACCGGGGATCGAATTTGGGACCTTGTGCTTGCGCAGCAGGCACCGGAACCACTGAGCTAAATCCCCGGCCCGGTCTTATATTTTCAAATCAAAGCTTGGCCCTACTATCCAGTTACACATGTATGAAAATCTTATGGAACCTGTTAGATGGCCCTGCACCTTTGCAGATGGAGTTTTCCCTGCACACAGACAGCACCCACAGGACAGAAGCATGGTCAATGGGCACAGCTGCAGATGGGCTGAGGAGTGCAGTGCAGGGAAGAGTAGGGAAAGGTTCAGGTTGCTCCATGCCCACACACAACCCCTCACTCCTGACTGCAGGCCTTGGGCCCCACTGGCTATGGTGTTGCCAGCAGGCAGTAAGCTCACCAGGATGCAGGAATGCAAGCTGAAACTTAGTGGTTCTCTCTGGACTAAGTAACAGTTGAGCATAAGGCACTAAAACATGCCACAGACTGCAGCTTCATCTGTGTGGGCCGCAAACCTCCACACAAAATCCCCGTCTTTGCCTCAGACACATCCCTCCTCGATTTCTTTGGATCCTCATTCAGATCCAGTATTCTTATCAACACCCAGAAGGGAAAATGAGTAAAGGTGAACTCTTTTATACTGTTTTAAATTAAACTATGTTCTTAGAATGTAACAATTCAATGCTGGTTGGAAAAAGTTATAATAAGTGCATTGCATACACCGACACACTTGGAAATAAGAGTGTATCTTTTAGTCCTATTAAGTTCTCTTCCACTCACTAAAACAAAGATACCAACCTCTTTTGTCATTAGGCTCAAGGTCTCCTCTGGATACTGCTCTATAATCTGGAGTAATCTAGGAAACTTCAGCCTGGCATCAGTGGAATTTAATTTTAAAGCTTTCAACATTTTCTCCACCACAAGTGCTGGATATACCTGTAGTTCTGCAGAATTAATAACTACGAAGGACAGCAAAAAGGAAAACAATGGTCAATACATCTACTTATACAGAAACTATAAATGTAACAAATGGTTATATTGTCCCCTTTTGGCTTATTTTTTTTTACTATGTCATTGTTTTCTTGAATGACGACTTCTTTATAATGGGGGGGGGTGGTACTGAGGAATGGATCCAGGGCCTTTGCATTGAGCTACATTCCCAGTCCATTTCTTAATTTTATATTTTGAGACAGGGTCTTGTTTAGTCACTAAGTTGCCTAGACTGGGCTCAAACTTGGGATCCTCCTGTCTCAGCCTCCCAGAAACTGGGATTACAGGCATCCACCACCATGCGTGGCTTTTGAATAACCATTTCTTTCTTTCTTTGCTTGCCTGCCTGCCTGCCTTCCTTTTTTCCTTCCTTCCTTCCTTTCTTCCTTCCTTCCATTCTTTCTTTCTTTTGGTACCGGGGATTGAACTCAGGACCTTGTGCTTGCAAGTCAGGTGATGGAACCACTGAGCTAAATCCCCGGCCCATGAACAACTTTAGATCAACACTAGACTTATTTTTTGAGTTATAGCTTGAAGTACTATCCTTCCATTAGAATACATGTACACTTTGCACCAAGCATAATTTGCATCCTGGCCTAAGAACGTGATGGGGAGCTGCTGGTGACTGCATTACTCCAGGAGCAAGAGTCAGGCAACACGAGCCAATACCAAACTGCAAGCAAAATATGAAGGTACAAATAAAGCAAATGGAAACATGTAAGACAGTTTGACTCCATTTAAATTCAAGTTGTGTTGCTTGGAGATGCCACTGTCTCTGAAGAAGAAATCAGATTTCTCTCAAAATATCTGCATTTGAAAACAAACAGAGACAGACAGAAAACCAAAAGTGTTCACAAAATTCTTAAGACTTTATGCTGACATAATAGAACACTAACTTGTTTTTTTCTTTTTTGATTCACCCAATGTATTCTCTTCTGCTTTGCGGAGCTGTTCATCACAGAAATCCACCAGTGTCATATAAGCATCTGTCACACCAGCTGCAGGCCCATAGCTCCAGCAGGAAGGCTGGGCCTCCTCCTCAACTGTCTGCACGGCCTTGGAGAGGTGAAGGAACGCTCTCTGGTACAGACCCGCAATTACCTGCAATTCACGTGATGTTTAACTGGATTGGTAGCTCCAAAATAAAAGTGAAAATCTAGGTACAGTGTCACATGCCTGTAATTCTAGATACTCCGGAGGCCAAGGCAAGAGAATCACTGGAGCCTACAAGTTTGAGAACAGCCTGGGAAACACAGTGAAACTAGGCCTCAAAACAAACAAACACCAACCAACCAACAAACAAGTAACACCAAAAGCTATGTTAACTGGAAAAAGGAGAGCCTGCTCTAGCTGTGAGGGGGTAAGTAATCCTAATATGATCCTAAGCATGTAAAAACCACTCCCCCAAAATAGCCAAGTCAAACTAAGTGCTGGCCAGACAGTCTGAGCCACCCAGAGCTCGATCAGGTTACCAAGGTCCTGAAGCTCCGTCAGGAACTTCTGAGAGGGATGGAAGCTGCCCCTTACACATGATACCTCACAGGTGTTGGTCACGCTGTGGAGGGAGAAGACAAGGCTACACAACTGAAGTGAGATAGGACACACTGAGATGAGGAGGAACTGGTTAACTACTGAAAATAAAAAGTAATCTGAAAAAAGCTAAGCAGAACAGGCACTAAACAAGGAAGTGGAAAGGGCTGTTTTGTCCCACAAACTGTTGGGAATATCTGAATGGCAACTGTGGTGAAATTTCATTAACAAAATCCATGGAAGAATATCCACATCAATCCAATAAAAATTTCTCATTATTAATTTTAAAACAATGTTTGCCATTCAAATAAACAGGAAACACATGCAGAATGTCAATTTTCCACATAAGAAACTTGGCTGTGCATAACTGTCAAACATATTAAAACAAATACTAAGTGACACCCTCATTGTTCCTTTCCTGGAGCCTGAAGGCTGCACATGAAAGATACACAGCACACTAACAAGAAACCCTCCCTCTTCCAGTTTTCATTACCCTCTCTGCACTGTCTGTGCTGGATCCAGAAAGCTCCAAGATCTGTCGAGCCTTGCTCCCCTCCATGTCAGCCAGGAAGGCTGGATCACTGCTGAGAGCATCAGCCATGATCCTGAAAGTCGTACCCAAGAGAATGTTCTGATCACAGGAAGCCAGAATATTTTTGTTTAAGTAACCTGATGTGGTGTTCTCATCTGCTGGGTTGAAAAAAAAACAAAAAGCAAAATATTTTCTGAAGTAAACAAATATAAATTACAAAGAAAATTCAGTGTATAAAAGTTGTTTTCCATTAAGAAAATAACTACAATAAATCTTGAAAGCACAAGAAACTGGCTTCAAGTACTGGTTAAAGAATTTCTTGAACGTGATTACTAATGAAAAAGGTTCTTTGTTAGAAGTAACTGTATCAAAGTCTACAAAGGCTAAGCAATTAAAACTAAGAATTAACTTTTTATCTATGTATCATCATTCCACATTTTGTCAAAGTGCCTAATTCTATTACAAAGAACAGAAAATGACTTCTTTTTTTCAGAAAATGACTTTTTAAGGTATTTGTATATATACATCAATAACCCAGTGTAGATTTAAAAATGTATATTATTGGGGGCCAGGGATGTAGCTCAGTGGCGCTGCACCTACCTGGCAAGCATAAGGTCCTTAGTTTGACTCCTAGCACCAAAAAATAAAATAAAAATTTAAAAAATGGGAACAGCCACAATTGTGCTTAAAATTCTAGTTCCACTTCTCACCATGGGTGCTGGGTGAGGAGCTCAGGCAGTGGCACTTGGAAGCACACCTGCTGCTTGCTCACAGTCTGACTCTCTCACTGGGCTGCTCAGCTCAGATGGCTGCTACAAACTACAAGCACGCTCTAACTGCAGGCCTACTGTTACCATGGACACTGATTACTGCTGTTATTTGGGCGGTACTAGGAACCACTGAGTTACACTCCTTCCCCTCACTCCATCCCCCCCCCCCCCACTAAAGCCCCTACAATGACTCAAGCACTTGGAAGATGATTTTCTGATTCTGGGATCATCTGGAAAGAGTGCTCCTTCCTTAGCACTTTTACAGAGTCTGCTGTTGCGGCACAATGCTCTGTCCTGCTGGAGTCCCCCTATAGCGCAGCCATGCACCCTTGAGCACACAGCTGCAGGGCAGGAGTTATCAGATCCAACCCAAACCAAGAAAGATTTTTCCCTTCAGGCTTAAAGGTTTCATTATCTTGAAAAGAGAACTAAGGAAGAAAAAGGCCCTGTATGTTTAATTTTTACACCTTATATGTAAATTTAAATTTACAAAATAAGGAAACTACTACACTTATCTTTTGGTTAAGTATTAAAGAGAAAACCTTTCATTTCCATTTTATTTTACAAAGAAATAAAAGCTCCAAATGTCATACCGGACATTATTAACATACTTAATTTCCTGGCTTCCAGTCTTTTGCTCTATTCCCAAGGAAATGACATCATTCTCTCTGACATCTTTTGCTGTCTATACTAAAGGTACTACATAGGTTTAACTCCCACAGGTCAGATGAAGCAGCAGAAAGAACGGTTTTTGAAGACACACAAGATATAAGAGTATCCTAAGGGCTGGGGATTTAGCTCAGTGGTTTCGCCGCCTGCTGCGCAAGCACGAGGATCCGAGTTCGATCCCTGGTACAAAAAAAAAGAGTATCCTAAGATTGAAGTGGACTATAGCAGCCTAATTACCCAACAGAGAGACTGTTTTCAGCACGGTGAGGATCTGCTCAGGGGGGCTCTGCGCTCGGCTACGGCAGTGGGTTAGCCAGCAGTAGCTCTGCACCCACTGCATCTGCCAGTCGGCTCTCGTCTTTGACTCCTTATGCATCTCCTTCAGCAGTTTCATGGCAAGTGAGAAATTATTCTGTATCAACATAAGAAAAAGAAAGTAGTGTGATGGCATACAGGCAGACAGTTTAGAAATAAAATTAGGGGTGGGGATTTAGCTCAGTGGTTCCATCACCTGCCTTGAAAGCACAAGGTCCCAAGTTCCATCCCTGGTACCAAAAAAAAAACAACAACAAGGGCTGAGGATTTAGCTCAGTGGTTCCACCGCCTGCCTCACAAGTGCAAGGTCCCGAGTTCAATCACTGGTACCAAAAAAAAAAAAGAGCTGCAAAAAAACTCAAAACAAAACTGTTCCTCCTAAAATTAGTTTAAAGAAGAAGTTAACTGGTCTGTGATCCTGTTTGCATGACACAATTTGCCTTGGAGAAGCTAATCCATTAGTTGTGGATATCTTTTTAAATCACTGGACATAATGTACATTTAAAGATTATGTTTCAAGTATTTTTTTAACCACATTTATTATAGCCTATAATCCATACTGCTAGGATTATAGGCATGCACCACCAAGCCCACCTTTAAGTATGTGTTTTGAGGCACAAGTTTTTAACTTTTTAAAAAAATAAAATGGCTTTTAATTGTATACATGTTATTTTAAGTTAATATAAACATCTTTAAAGTAAATATATATTTAAATATAACTTAACAGGTCTGATTATTTTTATGTTCTTCCAAAAGAACACTACTAGTGCTCTAATTTGGGTTAATTGAATCACTATTCAGTTTTATCTTTTGCAGTGTTTTCCAAACAGGATTTTGTTCCACAATATAAGCTTTAGTTGTTATCATTCTATAGCAGACACTATCCATATATGGTTTGGAGGTAGTCTTAGCTATAGTGCACATAAGATTGATAGCATTTGCTGTGTTGTGTACTGGAATTATCCGTAATTTACTTCCCTGCTGAATCCTGAATATCAGTTTCCATTCTTCAGGCCCATAAAGAGCAGCAAACAGAACCAAAAAACGATTCCGGTGAATGTTAAGAAACTTCTCAATTTTGGTTGGAAATATTTCTTCAGCTGACATAATGCATTCGTTAGCATCCATCAATAAAAATGGAAATCCAGAAAGAGAAAATAAAATCGATCCATTTTCCACTGAATCTGAATACCAAATCTTGTGGCTTTGATTTTCCAGAGCAGTTTCAATTTTGTAATTCTTAAGAGATGAGCTAATACTAACAGCAGTTGTCCATTTTACTTTCTCTTTTTCACCACTTTCAGCCGTCTGTACATCTTTGGGTCAGCCCGGTTTCTAACGATGCCACAATCTCATCTCCAAGTCCTCAGTGTCGTTTAAACCGCCCAAACTTCCAGAATGTTCTGCAAACTATCAAGTTTTAAATTTTGACAAAGTATAATTTATTTATTATTTTATCTATTTGCCTCCTTTTCTCATTCTTCCCTTTCCCTACCTTTTCTTACTCTTTGCACTCTTAAAAGATTACATTTCAAGTATTTCTTTTTACCACATTTACAAAGGTAGGCAACCACTACCATCTAATTCCAAAACATTTTCATTGGCCAGCCAATCAATTTCCTAATCCTCACAGGATACAGTCTTTATCCTCCACACACACTCAAGTGGGTTGTCATCTACCCCTGAACCTGCCAAGAGGCTCCAGTCTCTCCAGAGCACACTTTGCAATCCAAACACCCCTTTGGGTGGTGTCCCCACCCCACACAGTCCCTCTTCTGATTGTGCCCTCCTAGTGCTGGGACATCTTCCTTCATCACCTGCCCGTGCACTTCCTGTTCTGCTTCTGCACTTGGCCCAGGACCATCCCAGACTCCCCCAAGGCCACTCAGGTGCATTCTCCGGCTGTGCCCATCAGCTTCTTCTACAGCTGTCATTTCCTATCTTCTCCTCTTCACTCAGCCCTCTTCCCTTCCACCTCCACTTACTCTCAGCAAGCAACTTTGTGGCCTGCTTCTCAGAAGATACATGAATCTCAACAATCTCCCCCTCATTTCTTCCTCTCCTCCAGGCACAATGAAGAAGATTCACCTGGGCTCTCCAACTGTGCTGACAACCTCCGAGCAGACACTTACTTTAGCAGTTATCCCACCCCCTGCATCCAAGCTCTCCTGATGCATTAGTTCCTTCCACTCCTCTCTGTCAGGCCTATAAAGCACATGCCTGTGCCCCATAGACCCTCTCCTCTTCCCTCCACCCAATGCAGCCCAACTTTTTTTGCTCCTGTGACATGGTTTGCATCAAAGTCCACATCAATCTCCTTTTATAGGCGAGGACCCTGTCCAACCCTTCATACTCCATCTTTTTGGAAGACTGGTAACTGACATGATGGTGGCCAAGAGACTCATGGTCCCTTGGCTGTCACTGAGTTGTCTCATCATTTCATGCATTTCCTTTGCACATACCTCATCCTTGCTCATCCATAAGTGCTGGTCTTTGTCAGAGTTTGGTTCTGGTCACCATAGGTACTCCCAGTCTCGATACTAGCCAATGTGGATTGCATTCACATCTATCACTAGCCTAGTTCTATTTCTTTAGAACTTCAGATTTATAAGTAAACTAAAGGAAACCTAAATTTAAAGGCCTTACAACTTCAACGTGTCCTAAATGTATCATATTCCCCACAAACTATTCTTTTTTTTTTATTACTTAAATTCTTTTATTGGTACATTTTAGGCATACAACACATTTACATTTCTCATTGGGAACTGTACCTTTGCCCCTCTCACTACCCCTACCCCTAA